AAATGTAACAAGTTGATTTTATTATCTTTAAATATAAGCATAAACCGTGTAGTGGCGGTGAAAATATTATTCACTACCCGATACCATCCCATGGGTGTTGTGAGAGGCAGCAAATACTGCGGTTGCCCACCCGTTCGCCTAGCATAGCAACAACTATGGCAAATATCCACCATATGAAACAATCTATAGCGGAGGCCTATTTTCAGCAGTCGACTTTAATAGGCTGTACCGGTAACGGTAAAATATAACCGTAGACTATAGAAAACTTAACAATTTAATATTTTTTAAGATACTTGCAAAGTCGCCTGCGGGCGGTAAACCACGCTCCGCATCAACCACTACTATATGCGTAGGGATAGTAAAATGAAAGAAAGATATTGAATATATTTTTGTATATTTTATTGAGTATATTATAAGATGTACATTATATAGTTTATTCAAACGTCTATTCACAAAATCATACAAAATTTTCAAAAATGGGATATTGTTTTGAAAATATTTGTAATAAAAAATGCAGTTTTTTTATAAAGAAAAGCACATATTCATATACACTTAATTTTATTATTTTATTTTTAACAAAGATTATGCATACTTTATCGTCTTCTATATACCAAGTGACTATTTTTACCGTCTGGAAAATAATATGGTGGCAAAAATGTTTTGTGTAAATGGAATAGAATCTATCCTCAAGTGGAAAGTATTTTGTAACTGATAGGCAAGTTTTCCGAATATCCAAAAAATACATAAAACAATTGATCTTACCGCATTTGCATAAAACTAAAAATACTTTTAAATGGCGCGGCGTAGGCTACGAATTTTATGCCTGATATACTGCAACATCTGAAGCGTTTTTAAAAGATCGAAATTAACTTATTTACAAACTACACAAATTAATATTTACAAAATTATACTATGTTATTATTTTACAAAAAAATATCTTTTTAGCGATATCGCAGTAATTGTTTAAAATGTCTACAGTTTCTTTCTAAACACAAACTAGCACGTCTTTGAAAATTGCTTGTTAAACCTTCATTAACACGTTGTGCTTCTTCTGTGTACACTTATAATTTTAGTTCGACCTATATATAAAGGTCTATAGGTTTCAGGTCAGCTGGCCTCGCCGGCCAGTTCACAGGTCAACCGCGACCAATCCACCTATCACCGAATTGTGTGTCCAGGTGCGCGCGCACACAGATCGTTCATAATGAGCTGAAAATCCGTTGTATTGGAAGAACATTCCTTGCAGATGACTAGGAGGAACGTTTTACAACATTGTATTGATGACAAAACATATCATTTGCAGATACGTTACTTCCATCAATCGACCTTCAATCCATATTGGACCAATGATGTGGTCGTTAATGATTACTGCTGAAACGTTAACACTGAAATGAACTTGATTAGCATGTTCTTTGATTTTGTGTGAGTTTTGAAAACTCCACCAGTGCTCATTGTGCACGTTGTAAATTCCAACACGTGTAAAAATCGATTCGTCGCACCATCTTAATTATAACCAGATAACTCGACATTATAGTATTGGTATATGTTTACGATACACACGCAAAAACATAAAGAATATGACGGCGACGCGACGTCACGCCACAGCTAATCACAGGTGACTGAAATGAGTGAGGAGATCGAGGGCGTCTTTGCCCTTGAGCCTGTGATCCTACAAAAGGACAAGGATAGAGGTCTACTAAATTCATTTTTTATGGCCGCTCGTAAAGTTGGTAGTACGATTTTAATTGTAGTGTGGTGTAATTTATTTGTTTAGTTCAAATTTTTTGTTTTTATTTTTTTAGTACGTAAATTTTATTTCAAATTAGTAGTGTTTACCTCCTGCACCCTATTTTTTCCAGACGTTAAAAAGAATCCGTATAATACATACACTTCTCTGTAGTACCCATACAAAGAAGTCGTTGATATTCATATGTATAATACTACACAGAAGTCTTTGATTTTATATAATAGTAATTTGGCAATAGTAAATTGCAATGTTATGTAACAAAAAATGTTATGTAACAAAAAGTTATTTTATGTCATCGTTTCTGAAATGTATTTGCTTTAAAAAATCTAAATTTATATTTACAATACTTACTACATTAATAATAATAATAATGTCCAGACCGAATTTCGGTCACGGCGGCTAGCCTCAAAAGAGGCTAGCCATCGGCGCAGGACAGGATTATAGTGCCCAAGTGTATGCGCAAGCACAGGTGCCAATCTCTATTCCCCCACTGTCGTAATCCGATGGCACGGTAAACCGACACGACCGGGAGAGAGATCAGTCGCAGGACCAACGGCTTTACGTGCTTTCCGAGGCACGGGGGTGAGATACCGCCAACTTCCTGACTCCGGGCAGCTACTAAGAATTTCATGACAGAAAAACTTAATAATAGATTTTGTTGGCCCTACCCGGGATTCGAACCCAGGACCTCATGATCAGCAGTCGCACTACTGCAACCACTAGACCAACGAGGCAGTCTTACTAAATGAATAATATTGTAAATAAGTTCCCACTAATTTTAAATATTTATTTTAGATTTTAGTCTCATCAATTTACGTACACTTACACTCTACGTATTTGTTTGAAAAACATACATGACGAAAGGTAGTAGATACTATATATTATAAAACTGTTATATTTATTCCTTATATAAAACAATACCACAATATTGTTTCTAACATTCAGAATTAAATATAATTTATGACATAGATAAGCTAAAGTTATATATTAGCGGTATAAGAATATCTATTACCCCATATAGCTAGTGGGTATCGAAAAGGCGACAGTGGGAAACAAACCAAAAGAAGGGCAGCAGCTCTAATATCTACATAAAAATGAAAATCTGCAGGTGCTAAGCCACCTGCCAAGTATGGCAAGTGTGGCATATGTCCTCCACATGAGGCAATCTTTGAGTAGTCTTGTTTGATAGCGACTATAACATTTACGCTCAGTACACTTTTATTGGATACTGAGTGATTAATAAATTTTATATTTACAGCGTAAAAAGGCTGGAGTGAATCAGGAGTGAAACTCATTGCGCAATTCACCGAAAAGAGCGGAACAACGTCTGCCGCCACAGTTAGTAAACTCTAATAATAAGCTACATAATGTTTTTCTAAAAATTGACCTTAATATATAAGTAATCAGCTAGGTCATGAGCTGGTTAAATATGCGTACTGCTCTTTTTAACAGCCCTTAAACGTCCACTGTAGGTCCCGGGCTTCCCCTGATGCAGGTAATTAGCATTAGAAGAATTGTAAAAATTAATTTAAAGCACTGTCTCATTCGTACAGGTTCGAGGGCCATTAACTAAAGAATATCTACTAGATGCACCATTACGAGATGTTCTTTTCCTTATAAATAATTCCTTAAAAGTTTCACGAAACTGCCTCGACATTCCGCAGTAAATTGCGAAATTTATCGGGTATGAGACGATTATAAAGAAGTTCGTTATCAATATCAGTATATTAGCAATATGATAATCTAAAAATTCTACAATAGTACTAGATATTATATGAAGTATCGTGACCACTGCTACGGGAATTTCAACTACTAGAAATACACTTACTACTACAATAAGCATCAAAGTAGTACAATTAGAGTCTCTAAGTTTCTTGCATTCCGACTTTCGGTTGTCTTTAAACAGCTTCTGTCTATTCTGCTGAGCGATTCGCATCGCTTTAAATAATAATAGGTTGAGAACGACCAAAGAAGTGCACGGGATTAAATGCACGAAAATTACTCTGAATCCGAAGTAAGTACTGAAATACGCATCCGGCGATATTTTCAACACCCAGGGAGCTATTTGTACCTGCAAGCAAAAAGATATTTTGAATTATAAATTGTCGATAGAATTATAGATAGTTAAAGTACTACCTTTATTTATAGTGATCACTGACAGTCAACTGCTGAACAAAAATCGGGGAAGACATTAACACGCTTTTATTAGCTTCGCTTGTATCTGTTTATGTAACGGATTCTTTTAATGCAATTTTCACCAACTTGTAGACGATCGATTGATTTGAAAATTTGCACTCATATCAAGGACGGATGACAACATGTGGTAGCTCAGCGCTCGCTGTAAATTACACAGTACGCAAGCAACCTTGGTTCGATTCCCGCTGGCACCAATGAAATTGATAATTACAATTTTAAGTGCTTATTTACCACGCGCTCGGCGGTGAAGAAAAACACCGAACAAAAACCTTCACGTCTGAGAAATAAGAAAAAAAATTCAAAAGCATGTAAAGTTTGCCAATACGCATTGCCCTTCAGATAGAATTACTTATAAGGACTTATATATGCGGTAAATTTTAATAACTTTATCCTAGTATCCTGATCAGTATCACTAGGATAATTCTCTTTAGAATCATCATAGCTCATTATAAATACGTTTCTTTTAAGTTTTCTCGAATTTTAAATATTATTTTTTGCCAACTTCAAATAAAGGAGGATGTTTAAATTCAATTGTATTTTTTTGTTTGTATCTTAAACGATATGTTCGAAAATCGGAAACCGATTTTGATGATTATTTTTTTATTAAATAAGTTATACTATCGAGATAGCCTCATATAACTTGGAAAAAAACCGTAAATGTTATTTTTAGTCAACTTCAAATAAAGGAGGATGTTTAAATTTGATAGTGTTTTTTTGTTCGTAACTTATGCGATATGTTCGTCAATTGGGAATCGATTTTGATTATTAAATTTTTATTAAATAAGTTATATTTTCGAGATAGTCTCATATAACTTATACAAAAAAACCACTCGTTATTGAGGCAAAACTGGAGATGTTGGCAAAGTTTTTTAACGTAACCATTTAGGAAACACTGAGCTATTCCTATAGTAGATAGTCCTCTAGAAAAAATAAAAAAAAACTTTATAAAGAGTAAAATCCGATTTCATAGAACTAAAAAGAATAAAATCATTTCACATTCCGAAGTTTGAGCTTTAATTTTTCTATGTACTATGTCTTAGCACCTGAGAAACTGGTCTTAGTCCTGAAAAACGGAAAATAACAATTAATTGCATATAACTAATTAATTAACGGCAGAAAAATACATTATGCTCTTTGGATTGAATTTTAACACAATAATACTGTAGGATATACAAAAACACATGTTAATTTTTATTTCTTTATTAGTGAAATAATACATTCAACCTAACTATTCAATTCGCCATGGTTCGTCGAATCTGTTTTTATAATATTTAATAAGAGATCATAGACGTAATATGCATTACTTTTCTTAAATTCAAAATATACTTAAACCTATGATAGATTACTTAATTTTATAAATATACGAGTATATCTATTAACAGCAACAAAAATTTCATCATAACAGCTATTTATTTTTATTTTTACATTATAATATTTGCGCATAATAGAATAATTTTATAATTGTGTACACACATTTATTTACAACGGATATATTTACTTACATATTATGTTCTTGCCATTAATGGAATATTCATAGTAAATACAGACACAATCACATATAGTAACATAGCACACAATTATCCGTCGATACTTCTTCCAAATGGGGGCTCACCATCTAAAGACTGCATGGTAAGCTGATCAAAATTGAATTAGTAATATATTACTGGAATTTAATAATAAATGTTACAAAAATGTTATCAATTTACATTTTACGCAATACTGATCAGGTCATCAAGCAGTCAAGAAAAAGCATCGACATTTTGCTTCAAATTTCTATTAATACAATAAACGCTTTATTATGCTACATATATAATATATTTAAAGCTTTATACAAACAAAAATAAAATAGAAAAGTTTCTATATAACTTATATAAATCATTTAAAAATTTACTGCTAAAGCTTTTGTTGAAAAAACTGATATGTTTCTAAAACAAGTATATAGACATTTTGTTGGGGAATATGATTAATAGTATAGATATTTATTTACAATAATTAATAAAATGTATTAAAGCACAGTTTCATTAGTACAAGTTCTAGGACCATTAACTAGTGAGTATCTACTAGAACCGCCATTTCTACTAGTAACTGCGCCCCTTATAAATAATTCTTTGAATGTTTCGCGAAACTGTCTAGACATTCCGCAGTAAATAGCAAAATTTATCGGATACGAAACAATGATAAAAAAATTAGTTACCAAAATCAATATGTTAGCGATATGATAATCCAAAAAGTCGACTATAGTACTAGATATTATGTGAAGTATGGTAACAACGGCCACGGGAATTTCGACCAAAAGGAATACAGTTACTACCACAATAAGCATCAGAGTCGTACAATTGGAGTCCCTAAGTCTTTTACATTCAGATTTTCGATTCTCCTTGAATAATTTCTGCCTATTGATCTGGGCGGCTCTCATGGCTCTGAAAAGCAGAACATTTAGAACGACTAGTGAAGTACAAGGAATCAGGTGAACGAATAAAACTCTGAACCCAAAGTATGTTATAAAATATGCATCCATTGACAGTGTATGTACCCACGGCGCCATCTCTATCTGAAATTAAAAAAAAATGACTATTTAATACAAATATTCAAGGAAGGTATAACGACAACTAGTTAGTATTCAAACAAATCCTTAAATTAACTATCGATACAAAGCAATAGTGAATTTTAAACTTGCATTATGTTATTGTCTTTTCTACCTACAACGTTAGTAGGTTTGGTTAAATTGATTGAAACTACTTTTACGGATTTTATCGCGTTTTATTTATTTTATTTTTAATACCCGACGTTTCGGGTGCTTTCCGATCTATGCAGACCAAAGACAATAATTAAAAAAGCTGAAGGTACTTCGGGTTAACTTTGACATCGGGACGTCAGTCACCTAAGTCCCTCGTGACCATGGGTGCCAGAAAGTACCCGAAACGTCGGGTATTAAAAATAAAATAAATAAAACGTGATAAAATCCGTAAAAGTAGTTTTAATCAATGTACAGTGTTCGCGTAAATATAAGAAATCATTAGGTTTGGTTAAATTCAAAGACTTCTATGTACACTAATGAAAAACTGTATCACACCATGGATCGCGCGGACGCGGCCGCGAGCTGATAGCGAGATGGATAAATTAGGATAGTAGTTAGGTATATTTTATATCACAACAGTAACTATTTTCTGACAAATACGAATTAAAATTACATACTTATCTGAAATAAACTTGAAATCACGTTGACAAAGTCCACACATAAATAATGCGGTCATAAGAAAATGACAGCGTTTTATTAGTCACATTAAACAAAATCACTGTTAGATTGTCGAAAACAACGTTCCCGGTTTACAAAACAAAGAACTAATCTTTTCGTCAGCTAGCGGTCGACTAAACGAGTTACGGAGAAATTACCGTAATATAGTGTGCAGTGTTTTAAGGCCGCAGAGTTTGTCTAGAAGTATACATAGAAGTCTTATGTTATATTAATTTTTTTAATATTTTGATTCTTATATTCAAAATAAGATTTCGTACAAAACAATGCTAAATTATTATCAACTAATTGTAGTTTTCAAGTTTTTTTTTAAATGCGAAATAACATAAATCAGTCAAAACCCTTCTAATCATGTGCTCTGCAATCTGCCTGCCAAGCGTGTCATTACGGCAGTTGACTAATTGGAGATAGCACGAGGCCTTGGCACCTTGAAAATGAATCGTAGTTTTGGGGGCGTGGCTTATTCCTTTGTCGGCGTTGCTTATTCCTTTGTCAGTCAAGCTCAAGGACGACTGAGGGAATTTTCGAAATGAAAGTGATGCAATGACTTCATAATACGCAAATTATGAGATAGTTATACTGGGCAAACGCTCGGAAAAAAAAACTAAGTAATCGCCAAATATCAATTTTTTTAACAAAACTTCATTATGGATTAAAAAAATGGTTTGTGAGAACTTAAATATGGATGTTTATTATGCTTTAAAAATAATTCCATGAACTTCGTAAAAATATTGTGGTGTCTGGAGAAATGTAACTAATTAGAGCCTATTCTGCAATTTTTTCCTATCGAGGAACACGATATAGCGTTTTCCTTTTACGCAATCCAAGTTCATATAGTCAAAAATCATATACTAAAAGTTTGGTTTTTCATTTATAAAACTTTAAAAAATATTTGCAATAGAAAAACCACCAAATTTTCCTAGCCTAACCTAACCTTAAGGGGCTAATGAAGAAGTTTTTTAAAGAGGGCCAATAATTCTCCGCTCACCAGATATTGATTGACTTGACACTGAGTAGAAGTTTTTTGTTATACAATGTCATTGAATTGAGAAATTAGTGTTAAGTAAAGTTTATCAGTTTTTAGAGTATTAATATATTAATACATAAATCAATGCCTCAGTGTGTCTTTAAATTTTTTTCTATTTTGTGAATATCTGTGGTTTGGTTACTGATAGTACTGACCCTGACTAACCGTTACATTTTTTTTAACAAATTAACTTCACCGCTATGAAATCTGACACAACAAATATCACACTTCATTTTTAAGTGGTTCCACCGTGGTGGCAAAAAAATGTCGTAAATTTTCACGATATATAAACGATCACGATATTATATTTATATTGCATTATACGACTAATACTTCAATTTTAATGACATAATGCTGTGTTAGACTAAAAGTGTAAGATAGAGAAGGGAGAAATTTTCTAGATAATAAGATAGAGATTTTCTAGAAGAGAATGTTCAGAGACCAAAAAAGATACAATAAAGAATTTAACAAAAAGGCACAGAAGACTTACGTAATTAAATTATTCAAAGAAAGTTTGGTTAAGTTAGTCGATGGCGAAAATAACGTTTTTAATTTCTGTCAATATTTTTTCGTATACCTCAACTTTTAAAAGTTCCCTTTTTTATTGCCCGAAGCAGTTGTGGATTTCAATTGTAAAATGTTCAGATAATTGTTTCAAAGTTTAGTCAAAACTTTTTTTTTACTTTGGGCTTTTTTAAAACTCTTATAAGCGTCAGAATCTACATTGGTTCGGAAAAACAAAACTTCTGACAAGACAAGACTTTAGAGTTTTTTAATATTAAAACCTTATTCACACTTTAAGCCTAAGGGCACATAGGGCGGACTTAATGTCGTGTGGCATTCTCCGCCATTTAATCTTTGGTGTTTTATTAATAGTTATATATGGTTTAATTATATGCAAATAACCCCCTGAGCTCAAAAAAGTAGATATTTCGATATTACAGATAGAATTTAAAATTTTGTTTATATGGTATAGATCACAACTAAAGTACGTTAGGATAATGTGGTCATGCGGTTAATATGATCACTTTTTATAACGATAAAACTACAGTCTTATTTGCGTAGATAGATGGCTGTGTTATACGATAGCTTTTCACCAGTCAATCAAATAATAAAAGGTCAAAAGGGCGCTGCTTTATCGACACCCTTTTGACAGTTGACATTAAAGTAAATATATTTGTCGAGTTTAGTATTGTGTAGTTTAGTTAATTTTGTGAAGAGTTCCTAATTATTTTTTGTCTTTTTCCTGCTCCTAGTTTTAGTTTCATGTGGCAGCAAAGCTTAAGGTGATCACATTAACCCTCACGTACCTTATTATTATATATATTAATATAGCGTCAAGGGCCAGTAAATATTTTTAAAATGATGGCTTACACGAGATAATGTCCCATAGTCAGGGGACTTGCAAGTGTGGATTAAGGGTTATTTTTGCACATAATTGAGATTTAAGTATCAAATTTTATGGATTTTATCAAAAGATAGAAGATATTATAGAAAATATTATCGTGCTATATTTTTAGAGATTTTAATCAATTGCTCAAAAAAACGCTTTATACTTTTAGCTTAACCTAAATTTAGCAACCTCTTAAACTTAAACTCTAATGAATTATGATTAGTATTCTTAAACTAATTTGATTAATTTTTACTCTAAAATTAGTTAAAAGCAAAGCTTAAGCTCTCAAATTAAAAAAAATGGTTACTGAACTACCAGCAACAATGGACACGGCAAGTCTTTTACTAAACTTTAGTAAAGATTATAGTAATGTGACTTACATTTTCACTTATACATTTTCATATGAGAATACACTTATAATATTATCAACTATATACTTATGTATCAATCACTTTTTGGTAGTATTTTTTAATTGAATAAGACTGACAAACGAGAACACAGTCCACTTGACGGTTTATAAACGCTGTGGGTCATCTATCTTCGATTAAAAACTGTCACCGTTCAGGTCTAAGATTGAATGCCTCGTTACCGGTTAAAGTGTCTCCGGTTCCAAATTGTCAACATCGTAATTTTTAACTAAAAACAATGTATGCATAAAGAAAATTTAAGTAATGATAATATTTCCATTTACGTCTTGTGAATGTACATTTAAAAGATTTTTATTCGAAGTATGTGACATAACGAAGAACCATATATGCGTCTTATTCCGGTGGGACAGTCATTTGAATCGTAGGGACGTTACCATGATGTGGTTGCAATCTAAGAGAATCCTTCACTTCATTTCACCCCATGAATGTCTTAAGATTCGAATATGGTTTATGTATATGATAGAAATATAGATCATCTAATTTAAAACTGCACGTGGCTTCCTTTTATTTTTGTTAGATTTTGATTCACTGTGTTTAAGCATCAAAAAATCTAATTGTGTTTGCGTGTTTTTACAATACTTTAAGCTATAAAAATGATTTAGTATTGAGAAAACTACAAGGGAAGCGCGTGATGTTTTGTGTTAGATGAACTCTATAACCATATACACCAGAGCGTAAAATACATATATGACGGAATTTAGCGTCAATAGTACAAAAAGTCTGGTACTAGTCTGGTACGATTTAAAAATAATACCAGACGTAGTATATAGCCGAAGTATGTCGTCAAGCACTGGTTTATAATAAGTTAAAAAAAAACTACCATCACCCTGCGCAGCCTGACGTTCAAAGTGAATTCTGGGAAAGGCCATTCAGTGGATTCTTATGGACTGATGGTGAAATGAATGAAGATAAGTAACTTGCAGATTAGCTGCAGGAAACAAATCGGCATCATTGTGGGACGTCAATTCAGCCGCGCAACTAGATTTAGTTCAGTGATCAGTGCGGCGGCAATTACTCATAGTTTTATTGTATGCATATAGCTCTCATTTTGAATATATTGCTCTATCCGCGTAAATCATCGTGTAGCCTCGCTCTTATTACATACAAAATTCGTGGTTACCCTTTTAAACTGTCACGAGTTATTAAAAAAAGTTGTTTATAATTAGTCTCAGGTTTAAACAAAAGTCTGTTATTATAAAGAAGTCCGCGGATATAAGCGAACTAAAATGTAATGTATGGAACTTGACAGGAAATGTCAGATTTTACAAAAACAGGTAGCGTTGCGGCTATTGATCTTCTTTATTTAGAAGGACTGTTTATAAACCATAGTATAAGACCATAACAGATAAACCGTTTTTTGTAATAAGACCGAACGGTTTCGTCTTCTTTCAGGCTAATCATCGTCGTACTGTCACTCAGTTAACCGGCTGATTAAACCATCAGGCTAGAAAACAAAACATACATTTGCTCGAACGGTCATTGCAGAGGAAGGAACTTAAATATAAAACTTATTAAAGCATCTACAAGGAAAAAAAAACGAATGGATGAGAAGATGTCATAAAAGTTTTTCTTTTAATTTTTCTTAATGTCGTTACTCGTGTAATGTGAAAATTTTACGAGTAATAAAGTACTAAAAATATAAGAAACAACTATAGATGGAGAAAAGTTTAAGCATATCCTAAGTTGGTAAAAAATGGTATTTTTTTGTAGTCATTCAAAGTGTACCTATTGATTTTCTTCTCTGCTCCCCTATATATAAAAAAGTAATAATTAATTACTAAAAAGGCCTATTTTATATTTTATAAAATCTTGACTTTAATCTGATTTAAATTTTGTTTAGGATTTCAACTTCATACAAATAAGTTGCTTTTATCAACAGATCGTAATATTATTAATGTTGCTTGTGTATACCGTACGTTATGTATTGCATATAATCTGTCAAGATTACTAAAATAGTTATCTACGTTTCAACGTCTATAATATATCATGATCAAAATTATATTACTAATTATGCATACCCTGCAGACTGCCTCGAAATGTCCGCGCCAAACTGTTATGTGTGGGACGTATTGGCGATCCAGGAAACGCGGAAGCTGGTGTAGGAAGGCGGCAATACCGATGTATATCAGGCACTTCATCACACGAGGCATCGTACACCTGAAGATTAAAACAAAACAAAAATATATCAGCCTTGAATTCTGTGCTTAAATACAACTTTAAATAGATATAAAATATGTTTGTCTATGACATAATATATTAAGTCGCAGACCAACACACAGGACTTAACATAAAGCCTCTTTGCCTTGCATGATATAAAAGTCGAATAATGGAATATTGGGTATTTCATTACTTATGAAATACTTGTATAGGTATCAACTACCACATTTTTACAACTTTTATCTACATTTTTTGGTTAAATTTATCTGAGTAGCTCGTTGCTCTCTGGACTCCGTTTACCCAGGGATTAAAGGGATGACGCTATGTATGTGTAAAATATTGAGATAAAGTTACATTGAAAAATAATTATGGGTGCAGTATGAGTCCGCTATACTGGGGAAGAGAACGACCACACAGAATATCAGCGTTAGATAAGAGTATTATGCTAATTTGTATGGCGAGTGCGAAAGCAATTGTTACTGGAAACGAGTATTTCCATCAAGGGTAACAGCGCATTTGTATTTTGATTCCTTATTAACAATAGATATAGAAGTCTACTTGCCATCACGTCATTTCACTGTTTGCTTGTTTATCATCTTTACAAACAAAGTTATTATAAGAAAATATTAACCCATTATTTATATAATGATTTCTTAAATTTACGCGAACACTACACATTGAATAAAACTAAATTTACGGATTAAAAAATAAGTAAAAGTAGTGAAATAAACGCGATAAAATCCGTAAAACTAGTTTTATCCTATTATTTATATTTTGAACATTATTTATTGCATTAAAAAACTTTATGTTAAATTTTTGCGACCGAATAAGAGCATGTTATTACTACTGTTCTCATTTTTGAAAAAATGTTGGAAGTAATTCAAACTTAAAATCCACGACAACAACAAGTCAGAGTACCTATCATTATTCCACGCGGTCATCAAGTGCAATCATACGAGTATAACCTATTGCGAGTGTGGTTCAATCTTTAATGAAAATTACGTGCCACAATGAGCTCCTAAAATATATGGTCCAACAGACAGTTTGGTCCAACTTGAGAGATAGGATACTTTTATCCCAAAGAGTTACTCTCAATATTTTTAATTACGAATATAAGGATTTTATATAGGACAAATGGTCATCGGAGAGGGCAGAATAACGGCTGCCTGGCCAGCTAGTGCTATATAAAATTTTAATATATTATTGAAAATAATAAACTAAGTTCGTAAGATAAAGATTAAACTATAATTTCAGCATAATGCTATCGCTTTTGATTACTATTTTCAAAAACTTTTCTAATACCAAGAATTTTCCATTTATTTTGATGTCATAACAAATCGAATTAAATTTGACACTCCAGTCGGATCCATTCGTATCTTTACACATCAGTGAACTGATGAGGTGGATATAACGAATACTGACTTCAAAAATGTAAAAATATAGAAACATATTTAAATTCATAAGTAAATACTCGTTAACATTTTTATAATTTAGATAATAATGATAATACATTCTAAATTTGTCAAAGCTTGGTAGAGCCATGCAGTTATATTAGTAGTACAATTGTAGCACAAATGGGTCGGCTCGACCGGGGTAAGACCACGCTCTCACTGAATACCAGCGTAAAATAGTAGCTTAATGCTGCTGTGTTTCGTATGGTGAGTGTAGAGAACCGGAGACCCTTTTTACTGGAAACAAGGCATTCCATCTTAGTCCTTGCGGGTGACAACGCATCTGCATTTTGAGTCGTAATCGAGGATAGATTTAGATGTCTATGGATTACAGCAACCACTTAGTATCATCCGGTGGACTGCGTGCTCGTTTGTTACCCTATTCTATATAAAAAAGCTTAGAGGTGGAATTTTTTCTGAAAATTAATATGAGGTACCATCCACATACTATAACCTATTTAATAAAAGCTAATGCGTTCGGAAAACCTCCGTCAGTACGTTTTGAGTTGAAAAAATAACGTAAGGAACGAAGTTTCTTACGTTATTTTTTTCAACTCAAAACGAGATATAATATGGTAGATTTTTATTGATTAAAATATTTTTCCTTTATTATTTTTTCAATTAATTTACATAAAACTAATGAAATTAAATTATCATAATAATTTAGGTATTCAAAACACACACACACACACACACACACACACATACACACACACACACACACACACACACACACACACACACACACACACACACACAGCCCGCGCGCGCGCGCACACAACCCTATACAATAAAAAGAGACAGACAGAATGAGATAGAGAGGGAAAAGTCGACAAGAGGGCGCATAACCCTTTTTCCTTAAGGAACAATTTCTGCCAATTCACTCTACTGTAAGCCACGTAAAAGAACTTCGAAACTTCCAAAAATAATCATTAAAATCGGTTCACCATTGACAAAGATATTATATTTTTATTTAATTACAGCCCTTCACAAGTTCCCTGCTGAATTCAGGTTACTCCCTAGGAATGCCACAAAACATAGTCCTTAGCCCCTGCTTCCATCGACATCCAGTATATCTTAACAGGTCGTCACTCTATGTAGTGGGGGTCACCCTACACTTTGCTTACCGGTACGTGGCTGCCACTCAGGAAATTTTAGTTACATCGGTGGTTCGTTTTTCGAGCTTTATGGCCGGATCATTTCCACTTCATCTGTGTCATTTCCGCTAAGCAACGTCAAGTACTCCAGCTATAATGCGGATATTATCGTTACGGATTCTATCATGCAGGGAAGCTCCGAACATAGCCCTCTAGTGCGCTGAGCTACTTTACCAGTAGTGAAGGACCACGTTGCAGTCCCTGTTTCATCACTGGCCACACTATTGGTAAGTGTATACTGTGGCCCAATCTACATTTACCATCGATTAAAAATGAAAATACAGATGCGTTTTAACCCCTGTGGACTAAGATGGAATGCCTCGTAACCAGTAAAAAGGGTCTCCGGTTCTCTACAGTCACCATACGAAGCACAGCAGCACAACGCTGCTATTATACACTAGTATTCTGTGACATCGCGGTCCTTCCTCGTTTGAGCCGATCCATTTAATAAGTTATTAAACGAGTTACTCCATTTTAATCCTCATTACAACGCATCTGCATTTTGATTCTTAACTGAGTATAGATACAGTTGTCTATAGGCCACATCATCTACTTACTACTAGGTAGGTGTGCTCGTTTGTCGTAAAATAAAAAAAATAAAGAGCAGATGGGTTGCCAACCTGCCGACCAAGCGAGGCAAAAGTCCCCCATATGAGGCAATTTCTGGGCAAGCCTTATGTTCAGCAGTGGGCTTTTGTTAGGCAGTAACGGTAACGGTATTATCGATTTAAAGAGTTAGTTTTGGTGTGGGGTTCAGCCGCCACAGTATTAAGATATTAAGAGAAGTCAATCAATATCGAAATGTTGTTAATTTTTATTTAAATTGACCTTAAGTAGTAGAATAACGCTGCAGATACATCATAATCGGAGTAGAAATCAGTCGGCTACATCGGGGTAGGACCACGCTATTACAGAGTGTCAGCGTAAAACCGAATAATTATGTGTTAAGAGAACCGGAGACCCTTCTTACTGAGAACGAGGCATTTCATCTTAGTGAACTGGGGTGACAACGCATCTGTATTTTGATTCTTAATCGCGGATGGATATGTATAGGCCACAATATCCACGTACCATCAAGTTGACCGTGTGCTTGCTTGTCACTCTATATTCTATTAAAAAAGACCATAGCCAAGACCATAGCACAATGTTTGCTATCATCTATTCCATTTTGCACGAGATTGTTTAAGTGCTCTATTTGTTGGAAAATGGATGTAACCAAACCTTTAGCGTCTTTTAATAACTTTGCTATTATCGTTACAGTGGTTTTAAAAGAGGAACTCAGGGGAATGCTTTGATCTCTAAACAGCTTAAGATTAATGGTTCGTTAAGATTTTCTAACGGAAAAGTTTACGTAGGATCAACTGTTTAGTCATAAAAGTGGTTAAATAGTTTTGCCTCAAAAATATACTGAATCCTGTTAATCGTTTAGTCTTTCTCTGATGCTTGACTTTTATTTTATCAAAGTAAGAAAAAACCCTGATTTTTTTGTTACTTTTGTAATCAAAGTTGGGGGAATTTTTTGATATAGTTACTACGCTCGTTAGGTTGATTGTCAACCGCAATTTGCCTGACTGTATGAAAAAGCACAAAGTCGTTCAGAGAGATATGGAGAGAGCTATGCTCTAAATTTCTCTGCGAGATAGATTTCATAATGAGGATATCTACAGAAGAGACAGAGCAACTGACATAGCCCAACGGATCAGTAAGTTTTAGTAGAAATAGGCCGGCTATAGAGCTCGAAGTGCAATTAACCGATGGAAAAGAAAAAAGCTCCCAAGCGGAAGCATTGTACAGGTAAGCGATCCAAAAGATCGAGTGTTTATCTGGTCAGAAATGCTGTAAGTAGATAGTTGCAAATGGCTCAGGAAAGTACTACGTTGTATATGTTTACATGTGGTCTTGAGGGGCTGTAATGATGATAATGATGATGACGATGAAGCGAAGTTGAAGCAACGCTTTGTGTTTTTTCCCTGCTATTTAGGTAAACGATGTACGACGTAACTCGTAATTCCTCTTAGGACGCAATTATTTTATCCATATATAATATTAATAATAATAATGTCCTCCAGATCGAATTTCGGCCACGGCGGCCTGCCTCAACGGAGACTAGCCATCGGCGCAGGACAGGATTATAGTGCCCAAGTGTGCGCAAAAATGCACAAGCACAGGTGCACTCTCTATTTCCTCACTCTCATAATCCGATGGGACGGTAAGCCGACATGACCGGGAGAGAGATCAGGCGCAGGACCAACGGCTTTACGTGCTTTCCGAGGCACGGGGGTGAGACACCGCCAACTTCCTGACTCCGGGCAACTACTAAGAATTTCTTGACGGAAAAACTCAATAATTAATTTTTTGGCCCGACCTGGGATTCGAACCCAGGACCTCATGA